GGACTGGACTGCTGGTGAGTGGTCCAAAGTCATGTTCTCTGATGAAAGTAAATTTTGAATTTCCTTTGGAAATTACTGAGTGCTGTACATGCTCATACTTTTCATGTTCATACTTTTCAGTTGGCCAACATTTCTATAAATCCTTTGTTTTTATTGGTCTTCAGTAATATTCTAATTTTCTGATATGCTGAATTTGAGATTTTCATTTATTATCATTTGTAATCATCAAAATTAAACGAAATAAACATTTGAAATATATGAGTTTGTATGTAATGTATGAATATAATATACAAGTTTCACTTTTTAAATGGAATTACTGAAATAAATCTACTTTTTCATGATATTCTAATTTTATGACCAGCATCTGTAAACAAGGAAACTGTCTTTAAACCAAGGCCTCTGATGGGCCTTTTAAAGAGACAGAACTCTGACCCAGTTAAACTGATTTTGGCCATAACAGGTCAGCTCACCCAAAGAGACATTCTCTTTATAATAAACAGAATAATCTCCATTATTTTGGTTTATTTTTCTCTTAACTAAGAGTTCTTTAACATTTGATAATCATGAGACAATGTTTATAAAATTACAGGAGAAAGGAGAACAGAGCCTTTCTCCCTCCGTGTGATTCAGCTATATTATGGATTTTTCTGTTGAAATGTCTTACTTAGCTAAACTAATCATTATGGCTTAAGTTCATGATGAAACAGAAATGTCTTATTTGTCTGAATCATATTGCAAATGTCTTAAGTTGAAATAATTCATTCTTTCGGTCATTTTTTGACTTTCTCGTCAGAATATCTAGAGGTCAACATGATGTGTTTTGTAAAATATAATCTGTTTAGTTCTACATGGCGACAGCAGTCTGGAACCTGATATCTTCTGACTAACATCTCAATCTGGTAGACAAAACTAAAAGCCTTGTTCTTTAGGTACTAAAAGTGTTCCCGCCTGACAGACTGAAGGTACTGAGCCCGCGAGGGGGGATTTTTTTTCTTTTGCGTTCCCACGCCAAAGTTTGATTTATATATGAACTGAATTAAATCAGACTTTTATTTTGAAATATCCGGTTACCAACTGCTGCTTCTGTTTCAAGTGTTGTATTAATAATTAATGAAGCTTGAAGCATTGTTAATTCTTAAACTTCTTATAGGAAATTAATTGTTCACAGTAAGTGTCCAGTCATGATTTGTTTGTGTAAATAAACGATCACATTTCTTTACTGTCGAGATAATTTGTCGAAAATAAGAGATCAGGCTTCGAGGCGATTCTGGTCCACCATCCGGCGTCTCAGGAGGGGGAAGCAGTACAGCACCAACACTGTTTATGGT